AAATGTATGAAGAGTGAGCATGTTCTGGTTAGGAGAGTATATTGGTGTGCTGGGGGTGCAATACATAGTACTGGTCCTAGTTCTTCCCTTGCCCCCAAGTACCTCCCTTTCCCCTTTTCAGCCTCCTTCTGAGCCAAACCTAGATTCACCAGCCTCCTACAACTTGGGGGGCAATCACCCCGCAGCGTCTCTTCTGCAGTTATCTAACTGTGGTAGTACTTTTGGGTTGCTGAGTCTGTTTCTCATTTGGCTAAGGCCAGAGGCCAGTTGTATCCTGTTGGTCAAGACAAAAGGTCCTCCTACACTGCCCCCCACCCCCCCCATCCCACCCCTCAAAAGATCTCCCTGGGGTTGTGCCATAGGACTTGCAGAGAGGGGCTGGGCATGCGCCACAGGCCTGCAGTCTCCCACTCACCTCTAGGATCAGCTCCTCCATCTCAAATTGTCTTTGAGAGGCCTTGTCATCCTCAGGGGGTTCGTGGTAAAGGAGCGCCAGCACCTCGTACTTCTTGAACACGTTCTTGTAGTTCTTTGCGTTGACATTGATCACACGGTCCACACCATCGTACTCAGGAAAGTCCAGCCCTTCCTCCCCTTGGACCCCTGACTTGGGTGTCCCCAGCACCAACAGTAACAGCAGTGCCTGTCTCAGACCTGGCACCATCCTGGCCCCCATCCTGTCTGTAGTACTCCTGGAGCCAGAGGATCTGGGCTGCTTCTCCTGATCCAGAGGAGGTTAGCTGGGGACAGGGAAGGCCCCCTAGGTACCAAATCCTGAGTTAGGGGCTCCACGTGGGGGTGGGGTAGGGAGTGGCCCAGAGCAGTGGACACTGCTGGGTCCTGGAGAAACTGCCCAAAGAGCCAAGAGAAAAAGGGTCAGGAGGAGGAATAAGAGCAGGGGGCGGGGAGGGAACCGGAGCTGCCCCCTGAAATTGGCACCCCTCGGTCCCCACCTGGTCCTGTCTAAATATGTCCCCGAGGTTGGCAGGAGAGACAGATAACCTTCCCAGGCTAGGACAACTCCATGCGGGCCCGGAATCCTCCCACATCCTACACCTCTTCACCAAGCTCCCAGTCTCTCCTTCCCTCCCCCTCCCCCATGTCCAGGGCTCCTCAGCCCCTGTCCCCATGCAGGCCCTAAGAGCTCATCACCATATTAAGAAAGGAGAAGGGAGAGACACTGATCTAAAAATAAGACCAGATGAGTCGGAGGTAAGTGAAGCTGAGGCTGGAGGAGGGGGGCAGGGGGGTAACTAGGGATCACCGAGGGTGGGGTGAGGGTAACAGAAGGAAGTGCAGGTGGAGGGGAGGTGTGTTCTGGGGCAGAGGCTAAACCGATAGTAGAGGACCAAAGGGACAAGTGTAGGACTGCTTCCACACCCTAAAATCTGGGAATCTTCTAGGGGTGAAGTCTGTTTCTTTGATCCTGTGAGAGAGAGTGGGGGAGGGGGCAATAAAACACAGCCTGGGATGCAGGCAAGAGACCCCCTGCAGTTCCCTTTAAAGAATCAGGACCAAGGATGAGATCATTCTCTGAATAAAAGATGGAGTGGAGTCCAAGACTGGCGACCTGGCTTAGCTCCAGCCAGTTTCCTATGCTTCACTCAACATTCCTGACTGGGGAATGCAGGGGAAGGACAGGGCTGGCCCAGATCCCATCCCGTAGGATGCAGATTTGGGGTTTCTTTACCCAGATGGCCCACCATGAGGAGGGGAATGTCATTTGGCTGCCACCTCCCGTGTGCACTCACTGCCCTGAGCCTAGGGGACCGTTTTTTTTTTCTGGGGCACAGTGGGAGGGGAGGATTCCCCAGGCTGAATGATTCTAAAGACAGCTAATAGCTACGGTTTATTCCTGTGTCATTGGCAAGACAAAGACAGGATTAGGCATAAACACTGGTGAAAAAAAAAATGAACAGGAGGAAAACCTGAAGAGGCGGGCCCTGTCAGTTGATTCTGTGCACCTGAGACCTAAAGCAGCTTGGGGAGAAAGGGCTGTCAATTCTGGATTCCAGCTTGGAAGTGAAAACAGAGTAAATGAGTTCAGCTCTGGGTACCTAGAAGGATAATTTCCATAGCTCGCCAAGGCTGTTATCAGGCACAGGTAAACTGAGGCATGAGGGAGACCATGCAGAGACCAGATCAGAGTCAGATGACCCTACCCCACTCCCAAGGTGTCTCTCATTTTGGAAGTACCACGTTTATTTTGCCTTCAGGCAAGGGCATGGAATTGTATTAGCAGGATAATTTTTGCCCACTGCCATGGGGCAAACCTTACATAGCTAAGTGAGGAAGGCCACAGAAAATCTCAAGAGCATGGCAGGACCGAGTCCAATAGGAACAGCTGTCACGGTTGCAGGAGAGGCCAAATCTAGCTCAAGCATGGCACATTACAGCTGAAGAGATCTCAGAATTCCACCTCCTGCTCTCCCAGGAGAGCAACTGACATGCTAGAGCCAAGAACCCTAGCCAAGATGGTGAGGAGCAAGGGGCAGGCCTGCCCAGAAGTAGATGACCCAGATGATGACCAGCCCCGATTTCTTTCTTCTGCAGCATTCTGGGGAGGGGGAAACATTTGAACAGAGACAATGGGACATCAGACTTATTCCATGATCAATGGGACCTTTTGCACACACCCCTCTCCTCCCAAAAAGGGCGTGAGTGAGACAGGACTCTGAGGTGACCCTGGCCTGCTCCTTCTCCTCATCCTCTCCTGCAGTCACTGCTCCCTAGGGGTTGCCCTTTTTTGGCTCTAGTTCTACCCTTACTCTCTCCGGCTCCTGTACCCACCACCCCGGCTCGCTCTCTGATGCTGGGCTCTCTATTTTCTCCTCAGTCCCCTTCCCTCTAGGCCCCTTGCCTTCAGGCTCTTTGGACTTATCACGCCTCAGCCGCTGGTATCAAATGACCCTGAGTTGGGGCCTCTGTATTTTTAACCCACCAGACACCCAAAGCTCCTGCTACTGAAACCCGAGGAGCCAGCCCCTCGGCACTCCCCCTCCCCAGCTCACACCCATACCTCCTGGTCCTCCCATCTCCCAGAGTCTGGTTCAGCCATGTCAGCAGCCAGGGAAGGACCCCTGACGGACACAGCCCTGTCCCTAGAAGCCCTTGTATTGGAAGAGAGAGCCTGAGGAGGGGCTGGTGGAGGGGAAGAGAGGTGGGCTACCCCTGTCCCCTGGGATTGCCTTCTCTTTGGCAGCCCTTGGTCCCTCATCCTCCAGATCCACCCACGGCCTCTCCTCCTTCACCATCCTATTTTATTAATGTTTTGTTTTTCTGTTTCGGCCCAGCCCTTACTATAAGACTAGGCTGAATAGTTGTTAAAGGCACAACTTCTAGAATCAGACAGACCTTGGTTTCCTCATCTACGTACGGAATGGTGTGGTAGGACTACATTTGCCTGAATTAATTGATGGTGTGTGTGTAGCCTTTGTCCCAGTGCCAGGCCTAGAATGCAGTTACTTATTACATGTGTTTTGTTTCTGGTAACAGCTGATGGTTCCCCCCAGCTTTTCTTAGCATTTCTGTCTTGCTCTGTATACTTCTGGGCGGACCCAACCCTTTTCTCTCTCTCTTTTTTTTTCCCTCTCAGTAAGTACTAGGGGGTGAACCCAGGGGCACTCTACCATTGAGTTATAGCCACAGTCCTTTTCTATTTTGAGACAAGACCTCAAAGATGCCCAGGCTGGCCATGAACGTGCGACCTTCCTGTCTCAGCCTCCTGAATTGCTGGGATTCCAGGTGCAAGTCACTGCACCCCGCTGAGACTCTTCTAGTGCTACAATTCTATGGTCTGT